AACGCAGTCCAGCCTGAGACAAAAACTGAGATACGAGCCGCCATCCCAGTGCCTTGGTGAAAATGTCCGCCAACTGCTCGGTGGTGGAAACCCATTCAAGCCGGACCTTCTTCTTGTACAGTAATTCATTGATGATGTGAAATTCTCGGTCGACGTGACGATGTTCCTTCCGGGTCCCACAGTCAGAGCTGATGTGGATCGCAGCCTTGTTGTCGGAGAGAAGAAGAGGAGCAGGGAGATCGAAGAAAGAAGACAGCACTGAGGAAAGGAAGCTGGCATCTTTCGACGCAAAAGACAAGGCCATATACTCCGCCTGGCATGTCGACCTGGCGCAGCATGTTTGTCGTTTCGAGGACCAGGATACAGGAGCCCCCCAGGCCAGAGAAATAAATCCCTGGACTGACCGGGCTCCCTCACCGCCCCAGTTGGCGTCTACAAAGGTGCGAACACCATCCTCGAAGCCCCCCAGGCCAGAGAAATAAATCCCTGGACTGACCGGGCTCCCTCACCGCCCCAGTTGGCGTCTACAAAGGTGCGAACACCATCCTCGAAGGGTCGAGATGCCACAATCGGAAGCGATAATGCGGCCGTATATCTGACGTAAGAGATCAGATGCTCAAGGGCCGCCCAGTGTGATTGGTCGGGCTTCATCGAGAAACACGCCAAGAAGTTAACGGCGAACGTAATATCAGGACGAGAGCCTTGAGCCAGATAAAGAAGCGATCCGATCCTCGAGAGATAATCGATATCCATAGACCCATCGGACTTATTGGACAAGAGGTCCGTAGAAGCAATAGGGGTCCGAGTTTTGATTTCAGACGGACAGAAGTTGATGATTTTTTGGACTAGCATTGGTTGATCAAGTTGAAAACCACCCTCCGTCTCGCGGACCCTGAGACCCACAATGCTAGCAAGTCGTTCGTCCCACTTGAGATCTAGGACATCGGATAGCGAGGCCTTCAGTCTCTCGAGTAACCCAGGTGAGCTGGCCGTGAACAGTCCATCATCCACATGGATCCACAAGAAAGCCCGATCATCGCCTTTGGTGTAGACATAAGTCGATTGGTCCTCGGGGTTGGGAAAGAAACCGATACCCTCCAATTTGGCCTTGAGATGGAGCCACCAGCAGCGAGCTGCCTGTTTGGTACCGTATAGGGCCTTCCGAAGTTTGAGAACGCAACCTGGCTTGACCGAGACACCTGGGGGGGGGGCGAATGTAGACATCATGATCAATGTCACTGTGCAAGAAAGCGCTTCGGACATCAAAGGACGCCACAGGCCATCCAAGTCGAGAGGCCATAGCCAATAATAGACGAAGAGAAGAAAAAGTAGGGGTGGGCGCAAATGTCTCTCCCACGTTGACTCCTTGAACTTGCCGGAAACCCTGAGCGACAATTCGGGCCTTGAACTTGATGATGACTCCTTCCTGATCCCGCTTCAAAGCAAAAACCCAGCGACAGGTGAGGACATTGCTGGCGTCTGACTGAGGGACCTCGATCCATACACCGAGGAGCTGCATCATCCCGATCTCCGCCTGGCAAGCGTCTAACCATTCCTCGTGGAAATCCGAACGTAGAGCCTGATCGTACGTGTTGGGAGCGTCGGACATGAAGGGAGACATGGCCATGGCTGAGGCAATTACCGCGTCTTGGACCTCAAACTCACGAAGCTGAGTAAAATCCCCGAGATGAGTAGCCTGGATAGAGTTGAGAACCGCATTGAGAGAACCTGAATTTGACAAGCCTGATGGCAAATCATCCTCGTGGAAAATGACCGAGGCTGCACGTTCAATCTTGTTCTTGATTGGATCCCAAAGAACCCAGCCACGCGACACATCCGAGACTCCCACGTGGATCATTGCCGAAGAGCGAGGAACAAACTGCTTCGGGTATTTGATGTCGTGCATGTAGGCCCGACACCCAAAAACTCTTGCCATATCAAGTGATGGGCGTTTTCCCATGGCTAACTCATACGGTGTTAGTCGATCCTCGCCGTGTACTACCCTGTTGAATATAAAAGCAGCATGTTTTAGCGATAGGAACCACAAAGACGGCGGGAGCTTGGCATGAATTAGGGAAGTCCTGGCCATATCCAGGAGAGAACGATTGGTGCGTTCAACGGATCCATTTTGGTGATGTTCATAAGGCACCGCCATTTCATGTCGAATATTTTGCTTCTTGAGGAAATCCACAAAACGATTGGAGACGAATTCTCCAGCGTTATCCGACCGGATACAGCGAACCACGTGCGGGGTGTGCTTGTCGAAATTCTCAACCCATTTCATCACCTCCGCCGGAGCATCCGCCTTTGTCTTCAGCCCAATGGCAGAGGTCATCCTAGAAAAGACGTCATGGATAATGAGTCCAAATTTACTTCCGTCCAGAGCAGTTGCAAACGGTCCAACTAAGTCAATTGCCACGACATCGCCAGGTTTATCTACAATTTCCCTCAACGGTGAGACAACCGGAGTGTGCCTACTCTTTGCAAGTGAGCACGAATGGCACTTGTTGGGTAACAATGACAATCGCTTGCCAGGCAAACCGTCGACAGAATTGAACTTGATTGCTCGATTGACAGAACGGACGCCGAGATGGCTCAGGCGAGAATGCCACAATTTGGAGATAGACAAAGCAGACAAATCGGCGACAGAATCATGAGGTGTATGAGAGGCAGAAGAAATTGAAGGGATAAACCACCGGTAGTTGAGAGAGTAGGTGGGAAAAGAAACATTGTCTTGAGTGAAAATAAAACAACCGTCGTCCAGTGACACCATACCGTCCCACTTGCTGAAGTATCCGACCGACAGGACCGTTCCCTTGACTTGAGGACATAGGATGACATTGTGGAGCCGAAGGTCACCATAGAGCGTAGGTATGACTGCGTCGCCGACGCCTTCTATGGGAATCCGTTCTTGAGACGCAACACGGAGTCGGATATTAGCTGGTCGAAGGTTAATGAAGAATGCTCGGTGGGACGTTACATGATTAGTTGCCCCAGTGTCGACCAGCACATCCGCCGAGTCATCTGGGGTGGCGGAGACAGACGCAAGGGTCCCACCCTGCTCAACAAGCCTGCCAGATAAGACTGCCGACTTGCGAGGACGCCAACCGGGGTTTTTTAGGCGAGGATCCTCAAGCGGCATCTGGTTGTTCTTCACTCGGGGGCAATCTGGGGCCCAGTGCCCCCATTCCCAGCAAACGTTGCACGGGAATTCGGGCGTCAACCACTTCTTCCCCCAGGAGTCCGCCGGCAACGTGCCGGATTGACCAGACTGACGACCTGCCTCGGAAGAGGCCTGTCGATGACCTCCTCGTCCACCGCGATGTCCGCCTCTGCCTCGGGCTCCGCGTCCACCAGACCCGGTCGAATTCCCAGACCGCTGAGAAGAGATCGCCATGGCCAAAGGAGAAGGTGCTGAGCTCGCCTGATGGAGTCTAGACGCCGTGTGGAGGACTTCGGTTGAATTGACTTTGAATTCCGGTTGGATTGCCATGCGAGAGTCGAACGCATCAGCGAGTGGCTGATGGAAGCGCTTGAGACTGGCATGAAAAGAAAGGGATAGCAACTTATCTGTTGACCATCCCCCCAGTCTCTCCTCCAAGTCTAGCAGGCTCATCTTAAGAGATTCATAGCCCGATGCTATGGAATCTGAAGCGTCTGGGGCCTGCGCGACGTCAGTCCAGCGACTGATGAGAAGAGACCAGGAGGATTTAGCGAATCGCCCATGAAGAGATTGATAGGCCCCATACGCCGACATTCCGTTGAGGGAAGCGCGTAGCGAAACGTCCACCGAAGCCCGGATGATGGCCAGGACTCCGTTTGACAGAGGGGGATCGACCGTTGAGAAATCAGTCTTGAAGTAGTCGGCCTTCTGAGTCACCCGGCCCACCAAATCCTTGAGAGCTGCTGACCACATAGGAAAGTTTGACCCATCGATTGCCAGAGCGGGCTCGACCTCCTTACCAAGCTGATGCCACTTGAGGAAGTTGGAAGCCGAAGACACTGACAAGGCGCTCTCGCCGAGAGGTTGGTTGGAACTCATGAGGTTCCGAATCAGCAAAACTTTCAGAAGATTATCGTCAATTCCTGACAAACCCGATTTGTTGAGCTCCGATGCGATAACCTGATCAAGGGTCTGCGGGGGCCTGTCATCCGGAACGGAGTCGCCATTGCTCGACGGGGACTTGTTCTGGTTCGGCTGGTCATTGGGATTGAGGTCGGGAGTGTCGGACGGACCATCGCCCCGAGAAGGATCCTTTTCTTTCGAGGGAAAAGGGATCGATGATGTCGAGGGGGTTACATTGGGAAGAGGGGGGTAAACGGTGGTGGGGGTAATGATATCAGCGTTGTCAGATCGCGTGTTAACCATAAAGAAGGATTGTTAGTCCAAAGGTTGAGTATAGTAAGGAGAGAGTTTATGAAGTATAACCCAGCTGGTAACAGCGCGGGCTCATAACCTGTTAGATCACGAGATGAAACTCCCCCAAGGGGAAAACTGTATTCCAATGATTGAAGACTATTTATACTATTTACAACTATGTATTTGGGTTGGTGAGAAACTAAACATAAATGTATATTTGAAATATGTATATAACTATGTATAAGAGAATGACAGTATGTAAATATGATTGATATGACATGTGAAACTATGGAAATATACTTAAGTCCATACTCTTCTATAACACTTACAAGTCCATCATCAAGTATGGAGTAATAATGTACTTAGAGAAAACAAAATGATCTGTGTGTAACTACATAGTACTTTTTTTTATTTTTCAGTCATCATGATATGCTGAAAGAGGATTTCTATCTTTATTTTACACACACTAATTAGTTTTTGTGATGATGACTTTGGCTGAGTTTTCTTTTTTTTTAGTCCGAGCTGCTCAGTCATGGGCTGCAGTCTGAAGTGATTGATTACATATTTATGTAGTAAGGTTGATGTACTCCGGGGCTTACTAGTGTGGATGTCCCAAGGCTGCGCGGTCGGCACTCGGAGTTGAAAAAAATAAATAATACTCCACCAACTTGATCAGCGAACGAAGATACTCACCACATCCAAACCCAACACACACCAACAGCACACTTGGTACAATATCTCAACGAGGACCAGAAACGGTCATCAGAGAGACTCAAGGATCAGGATACCGATCGACAGCTACCCAGATGGCTTCCCGCAACAAACGAGTCATGAAGGAGATCCAGGACTGTCAACGTGAATCGGCGTCAACCCAAATCAACATCAAAGTCAGTATCTTGAGCTTCTTGACCAAGCGTATAACTATTACTGTTTCTTGCATTTTTTTTTTTTTTGTAACCTCGTTGAAATTCACTCGTATTACATTGGATTGCAAACATAGATGGTTGGCGACGATCTTTCGAACTTGCGTGGTCAGTTTCCTGGGCCTCCTAATAGTCCTTACGAAGGTGGTACTTTCGAAGGTCTGTCTTTTTCTTTTAGATATACATACATCGCGTATCAATGGTTTTGTAGTTATCCTGATCGTCGACCGTTTTGTAATCTACATGTCCTGATTTAACTCGTACTCTGATCGACAACAGTGGCTATTGAGGTCCCGCCGAGATATCCGTTCGAGCCGTTAAAGGTAAACCATCAATCCAATAGTCATTTACTTCCCTTTTCCGCAGAAAATTCTAGCAGTCCCGAAGAAAGAAAAGTGGTTTTCTAAGGAGACGATGGTTTTTTCCTCTTCTGACTCTCTGGATGACTTGACAACCTTGTAGATGAAGTTTGTCACCAAGGTTTATCATCCAAATGTGTCCTCTCAATCCGGAGCGATCTGTCTCGATATCCTCAAGGACGCTTGGTCCCCCGTCCTGACCCTCAAAACTACCCTCGTCAGCCTCCAGAGTCTTTTGTGTAGTCCTGAACCTAACGACCCTCAAGATGCTGAGGTAAAGTTTTTCTTTTTTCTTTTTTTCCTTTCACTTAGATATCTATGTATATCTGACATATTTTTTTATGTATTGGCTTCACTTGAAAAAAAAGGTCGCTAAGGTCTATTTATCGGATCGATCTGTTTATGAGAGAACGGCGCGTTATTGGACGGAAGTGAGTTTTCATAGATGAATAGAATCAAGAAGAAGTCCGATAAGAAAAAAAAGGATATTGATTGGACGAATGAATGATCTGTAGATGTATGCGTCAGGAGGAACGAAGAAGCCGAGTGGGTCAACGGCGAGCGAGCACCGACCGACGACGTCTACGCCGAGCCAATCGACAGCAGCAGCAGCGGCGGTAGCAGCAATAGGAGGAGGCGGAGGAGGGACATCGAAGAGCACGACCTCGACGGGCCAACAACAAGGCTCGACGCGTCTCAAATCTTCTGCGCCATCGGAGATCGCGGGCCGATCCTTATCCAACGAAGTTGAGGAACAGATCGTCACCTTCGGCTTGGATCGTCCAACCGTCAATCGGTTTCAGGCGATGGGCTTCGCCCCCGATCTCGTCATCAAAACTCTCATCGAACTCAAGTTTCAACCCCCCTATTCTAATAACTTTTCTTCTCAAATCCCTGATGATGAACTCTTGGAAGCTTTGTTGTTGGCTCAATAATCCATTCTCCTATTTTTTTTTCTTTTTGATCTTTGATTTTGTATCTCCTTCTCTTCTATCACTTTTTCTCTCTTTATATATATATGAATTAACAACCAACTCAAACTCAGCTTACACTCTACATCTATATATGTTATTACTCTTTATTTAACAATCATAAGAAGAAGAAGATGATGATGAATATATCTATATATGTATGTCCAATAACAATTATTTTCACCCAGATTTTGTGAGGAACTCTTGGTGAGTGAGTGAAAGCGAAGGACTTGATCAGATGGACAGTGTTAAGATCCTTGAGATCGGCGATGTGAAATGCTTCCCTGGACTCGCTGTATATGTATGAACATCATGTCTTGCATAGAATGTCATCATCACCATCAAAGGCGGGTTCTCTCATCTCCTTGGTCCTCCTCTGATATCTAATTCTTCTCCCATACTTGTCTTCTACTTTTGCACTAGTTGTATGTACACTTGAAACCTTCCTCGAACAAAAAAAACACCCTTACTTCATGTGGAACCTTCTTCATTGATATATCTAATTAATTTTTTTGACTCCATTTCCTTTGAAAAAAAAAAAATGATGGGTTTCCTTCATTTTCACCCCTTTTGGTTTTTCTTGGGCTGTTTGTGGTGTCGTGACGCTCTATCGTCTCTGTGTGTCAACTGGCCAACTCTCTCGGTCTCTTTTTTGCTCATGCTCACGAACTACTTCACTCATATATCCATCCATCCCCCAAGAAAAAACATGCTCTTTTTTTCCAGCCCGTGGTGTTTGGATGCATAAACATGCATGTTGAGTGAATGGTTGGGGGTAATAAAAGACACACAGGGTGATAAGAATAAGTGTTTTTTTCTTTCTTTTTCTTTCTAGAGGATAGAGATGTCGAAATGCGTTGTAGAGGAATAAGAACAAAAATAAGGAGAGAGAAAGAGAGAGAGAGAGAGAGAGACAAGGAAAGGAAAGAAATCTAGGGAAGAAGAGGGAAGCTGGTCACGTGATTTGAGCTTTGCGCGCTTCGGTGAACATCAACTCGATCTGTCGGTTCACCGATTCGTTGTCGGCTTGATCTTGGTCCTCGTCGATGACGATGGACGCTTGTTTGGCTCGTTTAGAAGACGACGTCGAGTGGTTGAGTTGAGTTGTTTTAGTGGTTTTGGGGGGCTTTGAAGAAGGGACATCGGCGGCGGGTATGTCCGTCGTCGTTGGGGTCTTCCGTTTGGTCTTGATCGTCGTCGAGGTAAACGGTTTCTTGAACGCCCTCTCAGTTATTTCTTCTTCTTCTTGTGCTTCTTGTGTCTTCTTCTTTTTCTTCTTTTTCTTCTTGGGTTCCTCGTCCTCTTCCTCACTATCGTGGGATGCTTGGCTACTCCTCATCATTGGTTTTGGGGCTTTCTTTCGTCGCTTCTTGTCGTCTCGCTCGTCCTCGTCTGCATCGGGTTGGATCGCTTTCTTCGATTCTGGTCTTGTGGCTGACTCGCTCCTTCTGGTGGTGGTCTGCGTGGTTTCTTTTTTCGGCTCTTTGGTATCTATCGAATCTTCTGTTTCTAATTTCTGCTCGGATCAGAAGATTGGTAGGATTAATGAAGATGGTTTTCGTTTTGAGAGAAATAAAGAGAGTAATGACAATAAAAGTGAGACTAAACCTGGATCGATTTATTGAATTCCCCAAAGCTCTTGCGACCGATATGAGGATAATTGACGACGGAAAGGGTCGGGGTTAGGGAAGAAGAGGAAGAGGAAGAGGGGCGAGAGGATAACCAAGGGAATCCGATCAAGGAGTCTTCGAAGATGATCGTGAGGGTAGGAGGAGGAGTTGGTGAGGAAGGGTGGAGCTGGTGCTGTAGCTTTGTGGTTGTTGTTGTTGTTGATGATGATGATGATGATGAGTGGGGCTCCCCATGAGCTCCTCCTTCTTCATCTTTTCGTGACAGTGAACGGCTCTTCGATGGATCTGTCGTTGGCCTCTTTCGCTCTTCTTGCTTGACTGTTGTTGTTGTTGCTGTTGCTGGTTTTGGGGCTTGTTTCCTTTGCATAAACTTCAGGTTTAACTGGATAAATTTTTCCCCGAAAACGAAAAAACAAAGGTTAGTTATTGTGTTATTTTGTTGATGTGGTCTAGATGGAAGATACTTACGGTCCCTGATGATAGCATCTTGTTGTTGCTGTTGTTGCTGATGTTGTTGTTGACCGATGACTGATGGACAGTGCGGGAGGATCTTGATGAGGTTCAAGTTGAATATCCCTAAATGCTTGCCTGGGTTGTAATTTAACTCAGCAGCTTCCATACATCCAACATTAAACCAAAAAAAAAAAGCATCAACAAGTCGATGATTCTATCGTCATGCTTCAACTACGATAAAATGCCCTTCATCAGCGGAATTGCCCGATGACCGCTCTCATCTCTTTCTGATGAGTACTCGGAAGCTGGTGGCTGCAAAAAGTAACAACACACAAAGTTGCTCCAGGACGAAGAATCTGAATCTTATAAACACTTGGTCACTTCACTTCTCATCGGGCAAGCCCATTCATCATCGACTGATGACTGGATTCTATCACAAGTTTTAGCTTCCTATATTGGCATCCTTGACAAGACAAACAAGTCTCCACCATCCCCACATGTTGGCTGTGCTCAAACGACTGCGCCACATATTTATGTCAACCCAGTCAAGACCAGTAGGATCAGCTGTACCAAAAATAATTAGTTAGACTGAGGTCTGATGTATCCATCAAGCTAGAGCAGTCTCAAGTCTGGCAGTTCTCGAAGGAACAAACCTCGAAGGAGACTGGAGATCCGTGCTGCTGCATCCCAGGCTATACGGTAGTCGTCGTAGTCAGCACCCAGCTGCTAATCCTGACAGCCTTAATCATGGTCATCTTCATCAGATGGTCAGATTGATTGATGGCCTTTGAGATTATTTTTCTTTCTTTTTGATTTTCTGAGACAAACATTTGCACATATCACATCAGGAAGGATTCACTTATTCCAAAACCATTGATCAGAAGTTTAAGAAGTACTAGAATTATTTGCCTCCAATTTTGGGGAGTTTGACTTAATGGTGACCTTGTCTTTGCCCCAAAGGTTGGTGGGTTTTTATACACAATGACCTTTTGTCCCTAACTTAACAAAGTCTCTCCCTTTTTGGGAGGTCAGTTTTGGGTGGAACTTAAGTTTGAATTTTCCAGCCTGTAGTTTACAAGCTCACCCTCTCAGATATCACCAGTTGATTCTTGTGTATCAAGTCGATTTTTAGAGCTCATCAGACCATCTCCACCGAATGGGGACTATCTGAGGGATCAAAATTCAAACTTGTGCAACTGCGGCACGTTTTTAGGTCCCCGCCTAAAAGCTTCTTCACATCGCAAGGTACTAAACATGGCACCTTGAGAGTGTGAAAGGGCATCCCCCGATTGCCCCAGCACCATCATTGAAATTCATCATAGCTGTGATCACAACCAATTCCCCCAAACTATCCACAAACAGCCAGCATGGACCTTGATCCAACTATCCTTCAGATAATAATACGGCGCAGACAAGCAGCTGCAATATCAAGATCACACATCCATACAGCACTGTCAATCACCCCGATCCTGTCAGGCTTGGTGATGCCAAGGCAATAGGCCTTCTAGCTACACCGGCTGATGGTATTGGTTTGGTAAAATGGGAAGGTAGAGAGGAAACCGAGGGGCCCAGATGGTGGGGGTTTTTACGGTGCCCTCGGGGATACAAGCCTAGTCTAATATGTTGACTGGTGGCGGCTACGGCGGGGTCTCGGCAAAAGGCGAGGGTATTCGGTCCGCGTATCGGAAGATAGAGAGGCGGTTTAGAGCTAAGGAAGTGTACAGTGGCGCGCGGCATTGTACTGTACAAGGCCACCCGCAAAAGTTGATTAGGTCGCGCGGGGTTAAACCTCGCCCCCGACGGGGGTCCGGCACCTGTAAAGAACACATTTTTGGAGTCTACAAGGTGTGTAGATTCCAAATCTAAATCGGCAACCAATTTGGTCCAGCCAAACAAAAAAAAATCTTTTTTTCACCGGACCATTCGGTCACAGGCCAAATATGGGGGCCTAAGTACATAAATATGCAATAGGCTGACACCATAAACCCATACTTGTATGGCTATATGTCAGCCTAAGCCCATACACATAAGCTTAAAGCCAATGTATATGCTCAAAAGTGCATCAGCGGGCTTGATTACAGCAGCGTGGATGTCAGATTGATGTCTCAACCCCCCAGAAATTAACAAAAAAAATCAAATTTTTCCGAATTTTGGGTCCCGACCATTCGGACATCCCAAAATCCTATACAGTACAATGCCGCGCGCAACTGTACTTACTTGAGTCAGAGTCTCCTCAAGTACGAAGCTGTTCGAAGCTCAGGCGGCGGTGGAATCCAAGGGCAACGAGGTCCTGTTTAGTTTGGCGCTGAGAGTCTACGCGTGGGTCAGGTATATTTTTCGATGGTTTGGTGTTCCTAGTTGAGGTTTATGAAGGAGAGCAAAAGGTTAGTGTGTTGGCTTGAGGATTTGTTTACGAGGTGGTTTTCAAGAGAAAATGGATACTTCATGCTCCATCTTTACTGACCTGAGCTGGCTTTTTATCCTCATCGGGTCCGGCACCAACGGCGTATGGGAAGTCGTTTCCTGTTTAGGTTCTGTCCAATCTGTTTCCTTGGTCATGAGGTCATGACTAGCAATGTCAACCTCAACCATTAATGTCAGCCTATGTGATGCCAAGACACAAGTCTTCTAGCTACACAAGGTGCAAAACTAAGAGTTTTTATGGTAAAAACTCTGGGATAAAAAATGGAACAAGTAATTCAAAAGAATTACATAGATTTTATGGGTTAAATCAAAAAATGTGGCCAATTTATATTAATAAAATTAATATAAATTAAACCAGAGGGGCCTGATGAATCAGGGGTGGTTTCATCCATCTAAGGTATCGTGCAAAAAGCAGAGGATTTAGGTACCTGATACACTGGGGCCTGTAGCAGGTGTGGTTTAAATCCCAGGAGATAAGTTTAAGGGGAAAATCTTCAAGAAAGGGTTATTACTTACTAGTAATAATCCTAAGGGGTCTTGAGGATCTTCAGGGCAGAAACTGGACAGTTGGGAGCGCTCAGAATTGTTGATTTTGGGTGCTGGATGATAACTGGGGAGTTTCTTGAGGAATCTTGAGGCTTTAATAACAGCAAAAATAGTAATAACTAGGCTAATTACAAGTGTAGGGGACTTGTAAATGGTAAGTAAATTTCTATATAGTATTGTAAAGCTGGGGGATCATTATTTGGGCGGTCAGAAGGCCCTTTAAATACCTGTGGAAGGCCTCAGGGGTTGCTCAGGGGAGCTTAGTAGGTCTTGGGAGCGCTTTTGGGCCCATTTTAGCCCACATGGTGACACAACAAGGGCTGAAACCTTGGGGATAATATTCTAGAAGCTCCAAGGGGTCATGCACGAATTTATTTGAACCAAGAATATCCCTTAGGAACCTGTGGGTAGGGGCTAGTCTGTTACGTGGAGCTATTTCCTTGGAAATGGGCCACAGAATATACCAGAACTGGTTTCTGGGGCTTATTAAACGTGCTACAAACTGGAAGATAAAATATACATAGTTACTGTAGAATATTCTAGCTTGTTTATATTTTTATTACACGTGTGGGGGCTTTGTTGACACGTGCACAGTGAGTTTCTGGGGCTTTGTGGCCCAATTCCTTGGATACTGGTAACCCAGAGGGGGTTATGCATGTATCCAAGGCGGGTAGGCATACCTAGCACGCGCGGGGGCTTGAGCCTTGGGCTCAATTGTAGTCAGGCGCGCCTGTCAACAGTGCGCAGCATGACTACGCGGCGCGCGGGCTTGGAGACAGTACACGCCACGCTACACTATCTTCTAAACTTTACACAACACTCCAAATCCGCGACAAGATTTGGAGTATATGCATTTGGTTATGCATAATGCATAATTATCCAGGGCCCGTGATCTAAGGGTACTGGTTAATTATTCAAGGTTGTATTAAAGGGTGAAGGAGTGAGAATTGGGGGTACCTTTGGCTGAGGTACCCTAGGTTAAATTGTATGTAGATTTAGAATCTGCAATAATAATTAAAGTTTTCTTTATACTTTTTAAGTTATTTGTATATTTTAAGTGTTTTTGTATTATTTACATAAGTAAAGTAGTTTCTTTTACTTATGTAATATTTTTACTTTATTCTTAGATTTTTTATGTACTTTTATTATTTTATTTTGCTATGACAGGTTGTCTCTGCCATAGTAGCAAGCTGACAGAGGAGGTAAAATCCATCAAATCTGAATACTACAGGAACCCCTCTTCTTTTAATCTCCCTCCAGATGTACCCCCTTTTAATTTCCACAAGTGTGAATTGATAGAAGACACCACTACAAACACTACTATCCCTGATTTTGGCTTTGGTAACCCACACTTCAACACCATAGACTTATCAGACTGAATTATATTTTTTACTTGTTTACCTCTATCTCATTACTTCTCATCTCAATAGCGTAAAAACCTCTAAAAAACACCAAAAATACCTGTTGTTCAACGCTACACATTTGTTTCACTCTATTTTTTCAAAAAAATTTCTGATCAAAAAATCTTTCTTACAAAACAAGATTCTGAGGTAAAATCTGAAACTTTTCCTCTTCTTATTACCCTTTTCAGGATGCTTTTTGCCCGCAATCTCCCTGAAGGAGGAGACTTACAAAAAATCTGAGTAGACCATTCAACGCGCAAGCATCAATTTACTCCACTAGATTTTTTTCCCAAGACTCGAAACCTTACGGTTCATTCAGCGTCTGTGCGCAAGACCTTGAAAAAGGACAGCCTGACAGCTTTTGTACGGTAGGTGTGTGGTACCACCAATTACAGTTTGAATACGCATACATACATAAAACAAGGTTGTATTACCACTTGTTTACAGTTTAAATCTTGTTCCTCCAGATTTTCACAGCCCTGTCAATTGTATTACCACCGCGTGAGCTTATTCTGAATGTATACCACAGCCGCACTGCACCTCTGACCCGTTTTTCAACCATCGACCTTCCAGAAACTTCAAGAGAGTGTAGCTCACTCAGTTTTTGAGCTATCAACAAGGTTAGACCGCCATTTTAATTGCCTGAGCCTACACGTGATTTCCAATCCTTCACAGTCTTATACTCTACTTTGTTTTGTTTTCCTATCTACATATTTGATAAAGCAATAAAACATATATAAAACATATAAAAAGTAAGAAAAAACATTAAATCAAAGAAAA